TGCCCAGCAATCCAAGGTCATGAGTTCGATCCCCAGTACCCTCCCAAATATAGACAGACAGACAGACAGACAGACACACACACACACACACACACACACACACACACGCACAAATATAAAAATGAAAGGGCTGGGGATGTAGCTCAGTGGTACAGCTCTTACTTTAAATTCATGAGCTCTTAGGTTTGGTCCCTATTACTGCCAAAAAAATATCCCCGTGCGTGGATAGTCAGCATCATTTGTCTGTTACTTCTGATGGTTTCAGGCCCCGGACTCTCGCAGCAGGTGTCTGGTTATTTTGGCGTGTTAAACGATGTCTAACGAAAGTACTCGAGGAATAGTTGCAGGGGGGTGGTTTTGCCCTTCACTGAAGAGTTCCAGGCAGTCAGCTGGAGGGACGAGGTCACCGGAGTTCACACCCAGGCCCGGCTGTGTTCTGGCCCTGGCTGACTCAGCCCGTGGGGTGTGGCTGGCTCAGGGCAGCTCATCGCACCCTGGAGGGGCCTGTCGGTCCCCTACTCTTGGCAGGCCCGGGCTCTCATCTTTGTTTCCAGCTATTCAGAGCCACTGAAAGTGAGCTCAGCCTTTCAGTTGCTTCTTTCCAGTTGGCATGGATGTCAGCAGCCTCGACTGTGTGGGTCACCTCTCTGCTGCCCTGTCCTCTCTTGAACCCAGCACGGTGGTGCTTCTCTGTCTTACTGGCACTTTGACCTCCCTCCCTCCCTCCATCCCTTCTACACTGGGAACTGAACCTCGGGCCTCATGCGTGCCAGGTTGATCCTGTACCACTGAGCTACATCTCCATCCCTACTTATTGGCTCTTTGATGCTTTTAAGAATGAGTGTGTAAGGCTGGGGATATGGCTCAGTGGCACAAGCACTAGCCTGGCAAGTGCAAGGTCCCGAGTTCAATTCCCAGTACCAGAAAAAAAAGAGTGGGTGTGTAGCCAGGCATGGTGGCACACACCTGTGATCTCAGCACTCTGGGAGGCTGAGGCAAGTGGGTCACAAAATCAAGCCCAGTTTGGGTTACTTAGCAAGACTCTGTCCCAAAGTTCAAAAAGAGGGTATGGATACAGCTCAGTTAGAGGCCATTGGTTTAATCTCCAGGATTGCCAAAAAAAGAAAAAAGAGTGGGCGTGTGGTTAGGCACGGGGGCATGTGACTGACATTCCAGTATTCAGGAGGCTGAGGCAGGAGGACCTTGAGTTCAAAGTGAGCCTAGTCTACATAGAGTGTTCAAGTTCAAGGACAGGCTAGACTGGAGACTAGGACTGTTTCAGAAACAAAAGACTGCACAGAGTGAATGCACCGCCGCGCACACCTACTTCTACCATTTAACCAGCTTGTTCAGCTGCCTCTAGCAGAAGGTTTTGGCCAAGGCACCTGGTCTGCTTTTCCTAAAAGAGGAGGCCTTGGTTTGCTGCATCACAATGAAAGTGATACAGGACTTCAAAACAAGATAACAGGAAATCAACAATGGCTGTATCACTTTCACTGTTTTGATTGACTCTATTCTGTTTTGTTTGGTTTGGTTTCATTCTCTTTAAAATAAATCAAGTACAGCAAAACCATACATCGCATCCCCTATGCTTTGTGCTCAGCACGTGGTCAGTGCAGCCGTAAGCAGGGCCCAGGGCTCAGGGCCCCGTGAGAGGGGCCATCAGAGGTAAAAGCACAGGGCTGAGGAGGATCTGGCCGGGCCCTGGTGGTGGACAGCAGGCACCTGCCTTGCCCTCAGCCATCACAGACAGAGAGCTGGCCCCTCACCTGCTGCCAGGGCCCCTGGAGATGGGGTAGACCTCTCCTGCCCTTCCAGCCCAGGGAAAAGGCCAAAAAGACCTCAGCTGGTTGTCTGCCTCCTGCCCGGCCAGGATCACCTGCAGAGCCTGGGGGTTGAGTTTTGTGACTCAGCTGGGTGGCTGCACCGCCTAAGTAAGACTTTACAGGACCAAGCTGACCTGACCAGCAGCCCAGGACAGCATTGCTGCCTGCTCCTGGTTTTCATGAGGCTTCAGTACACAGGAGTCCAGGCTTTTGTCACATGCTCTGTATCCCATGGCCCTAGGACTCCTCTCTTAAGTGGATATTAGGTAAACTGCAACTTCACATCAAATAATTTTTAAAAACACACACACTGCTTTGGGTACTTAAAACAGACAGGCATGGTGGTGTGTGTTGTAAACTTAGCTGAGGCTGAAGGACCTCGAATTTAACACCAGCCTGGGCCACAGAACGACATAAGATGGGTTTAAAAAAAAAAGGCATCTGAGTGAATCTCCCTTTAAGCCAGCAGTCTGTGTTTTGCAGAGCAACCTCCTCCCTTCCCTGGTGCCCCGCTGTGTCCTTCACGCCCCACCTAAGCCACTGAGGTGTCTGGCAGCCCTGGCCTGACGCTTCCCTGGCACCTCTTTCCCCTCAGGTGCACCCTGCAGCCCCAGCACGCTTGTTGGGTAAAGACAGTGCTTTCATTAGGGATCAGATCTCTGGCTCACCCTTCTAACCCCGTGGCATTCAATGTGGAGCCACAGCCGCCTGCTTCTCCGTTTTCCCCGTCGTGTCTCTGTCACTTGGGCCTGCTGTACCTGCCTCACCTGCCTTGTCTCAGCCAGCTGCTGAGCCCAGAGTAGCTGGCGCTTGGCACTCAAGGCCTCTTCCACTGGGCACAGCAGCTTCCCTCCCATGCCCTCTTCCTGCTCCACTGTTCTATTCTGTTTCTCTCCTGTCTCTCCTGCCCTGGAGGACACTGGCTGGCCCCTAGCTGAGCCCCTGGGCTGGCCTCCCTCTGCACTGCCGGCCCCTCTGCTCCCTCCACCTTGGGGTCATCGGTCCTGTAGCTGTGATGATAGATCTGAGATTAGCAACTGAGACGAGGTAAGGTTCATGCGGCCTGGGGTTTCAGAGGTCTTGGTCTGCGCGGTCTGCTGGTTCACAGCTTTGGGCTGTGGCGAGACGGCGTGGTGTGGTGATGGGGGCAGGGAAGTGACATACAGAGGAAGGGCAAGGTCTCAGCAGCTGGCCAAGGGCACTACCCGCATTTAACTTCCTCCCCTCAAGCCTTCCCGCAAGCCTTCGGTGGGGTACCCAGATCCACACTCTAGCAGCCAGCAGGTGATTCTCCTTCCTGTGCCTGCAGTCAGCTCAGTCAGCCTGGCCCAGGCCACATGTCCACCTTCTGGGGTGCTCTTCTGTCATCTCCCAGGCAGAAGCTTCTCCTCTGGACAGGATCTGTGGGAGCCAGGTATGGCACAACCCCAGCACTTGGAAGACAGAGACAGGAGGATCACACGGTGGAGGCCAGCCAGGGCTACACAGTGAGACCCTGTTCCCCAAAACAAACACCAAGGAAAAAGCTTCTAAGAAGAAAATGGATTTTGAGAGGCCCCAAGTGAGTGTTCAGGTCAGTGTTCACTGACCTGAGCTCCTGAGACGTTTTCCTGGCCGAGTCCAGGACACATTACTTCCAAAACATGGTCCGCTGGCATCTGAGCAAACAGCAGAGGCAGGGAGAACCCTAACCCCACCACCCTTCACCCTGAAAGACACAGTCACAGGGTTCTCTGCATTTCCCTGGGGCTGGGTCCCGAGACTGTCATTTCCACTCCCGGAGAAGAGGAATGGCCTTGTCTCTGCAGACACAGGGACACAGAGGACTCGGAACCAGCACGCTTCCTCCCGCCGGCTCCATGGGTTTATCACCAATGCTCCATAACCTTCTGTTCGCCAAACAAATTGCTCCACAACCGTCCACTTTGTCTTACTTTCTCCTCATTGAGACACAATACGGACACCCACGCAGAAGGGGAGGTTTATTTTGGCTCACAGTTCATTGAGGTTTCAGTCTGTAGTCAACTGGCTCCAATACAGGCGGGCGGCAGAGAAACCGTCCAGGCAGGGCAGCAGGAAGCCAGAGATGGACAGACGGGGGCAGGGAGAGGGACCCTTCCAGGCCACGCCCCCAGTGGCTACCCCCTCCCAGCAGGCTTCACCTCCCAACCTCCTACCAGCTATGAACTTATCAAGGGACAAATCCACTATGGGTGTCCGTCCCCCTCCATGATCCAGTAACTGCCCAAACCCCACCCATGGGCACGGAGGCTTTGGGGGACATCTAGATGTAAATCATAGCAGCTTCTTCACCAAGTTGAGCATCAAAGCTTGAGAGCTTCCTTTTTATTTTGGGTCTTCAATTTGGAAGGCTCATGTGTCACAGGAAACTTTAATGCACGGGCTTTTCCTAATCTGCCTTTGTTTGGGGGTCCTCAGTCTTGAACCTTGAGAGACACAGAGAAGACACTGCTTTTCCTTCCTTGTGTCCCCCTTGAAGGAGCCGTTCACTTTCCTCTAAATTGGGAGAGGAATTTCTGGATTAAGAAAACCGGACAAAAGTCCCTCATCTCTGGGCATCACCTGGAACCCCAAAGGACCTTCCTTCTTTGAAAGAGGTCAGGCCCAAAGGGAGTCCAACCAGACTATGAACTGTCCTGAAGGCCATGCTTAAGGCTTATTTTTCCCACAGATAGGATTCTTTTTTTGGTACTAGGGATTGAATTTGTGCTTGCCAGGCAGGCACTTACACCGCTGAGCTAAATACCAGGCCCCAAAGGTGGGATCTTGCTGTGTTGTCTAGGGTGAGCTTGAGTTCCAGAGCTCAGGCTGTCTGCCAGCCGTCAGTCTCCTGAGTAGCTAAGACTATCGGCATATGCTACTGTGCCTGACCTAGTTCCGTTTTTAAAGGCAAAGAACTTAGAACAGGTGCCCCAGAGTCTGAGGTCAGTTGGGACAACACAGTGGGACCCAGTTAAAAAAGAAGAAAATGCAGCTGGGCGTGGTGGTGCACACCCATAATCCCAGTACTCAGGAAGCTGAGGCAGGAGGATTGATGTGAGTTCAATGTCAGCCTGGGCTACAAAGTTAGTTCAAGGCCAGCCTGAACTGCATAGTGAGACCCTGTTTAAAAAGATACACGGGCATGCGCACGTGCACACATACACACCCCACCAGCTGTGGAGAAGGTTAGCTCTTCCCAGGCAAGAGCTGACATCTCAGCTGAGCCATACCCCGGAGGGTCACAGCCACTCCTAGGCGGCCTAGTGCTGCCTGCAGCGCAGACTCCAATATAATGCACAATTATTCTTTAAGTTAGTTACTGACTTAGGAAACCAAAGCACTTCATGTCTAAATCCAAAATCACGTTTCCACTTAGAAAATGAGCAGGGCCGGCCATACGGACCATGTGTCATTGGTCTCCTGTGTGCTGCAGTGGGTGCCGCCTGCTGTCTGGTCCTCTGTCCACTGCCTGCAGCCGCTGCTCAATGCCGCAGCCCTGGGCTCCACGTGGAGGGAATCGCGCGTAGGGGACACTGTGCCCTGTGGGGCAGAGCCACAGGGTGAGGGACGCTGCGTTCTGGGACCCCAAATAGACACAGAGAGCAGTGAAATGCTCGGCAGGGACATGGGGAGACTAGGCTGGGCCTGAGCAGGCCGTGACCAGTGCAGGGCAATCCCAGAGGTGGCGGGAGTGGCCTCAGTTTAGGCCGTGCGTGAGCTGTGCGTGGGCTGCGGGCCGGGGCACCCTCGGGCCAGGTTCTGCCCCCGGGCTGGGTGTCAGGCCCAAGGAGGAGCCATCTCTGCAGAGGTCCCCACGCTGCTGGCCCGGAGCCCCGAAGGGTCAGCAGTGCCCTCTAGGGCAGGACGGGGGAAGCAGGGGTGAGGGGGCGCAGGCTTCGGGGTGCAGAGTGAAACCCAAGTGCTCCGAGTCGGACCCCTCGGGTCTTTTTATTTTCATACCAGGAATCGAACTCAGGATCTCGGGCTCACCTGGCAGGAACTCAAGCAGCTGAGCTACATCCCAGGTCCCAGTCCACCGGGCCTTTTAAACTGCCCAGTCCATGGAAGCCCTTTCTTTGCTGAGGTTTTGATTTCCATGAATGTCAAGAACAAGCCCCCAGAAATAAATTGTGAGTTTTAAATAACTTTTCCATACAGTGTGGCTCTGTTGTATCATTCTTGTTGGCCTCTTACTGTGGTTTATTTATAAATGACCCTTTACCATAGGCAGGCAGGCACAGAAAGTCATCATACAGGGCTCGGTGCTCTGGACAGTGGGGATCCACTGAACTCTTGGACCAGCTCCCCTGGGCGAGGGGTCTGCTGTGACTCATATGAGGCCACAGCCGGCTGCCCACGGTCCCCTACCTTCGCGCAGAAGGGCTTGGTGGTTTGTTTTTGAGACGCTGTGTGTGTCACAGGAGACGCATGTCTCCGCAGTTTTAAGTCAGCCTGTTATTTGCTTAAGCTCCCTGGTCTTTGAGCAGAAAGACGACCCTTTAATAGGCAGGTACCCGGCAAGCAGCACTGCGGTGCCCCCGGCCTCCTCCACCTGCCGCCCGCCCGATCCAGGCAGCGTGTCAGGGCCTGTTTACCACAAATTGCAGCTTTTCTAAAGCCAAAAGGAGCCTGCTCCTCTCCAGGCTTTTTGGTTTTGTTTTGCACATGCAGTGCTGGGTGCAGGGTTTGAATTCGGGGCTCCAGGCTGGCTAGGGAAGCCCTGCACCCTCCAGCTACACCCGTGGCTACTTTCCCTGGCCTTTTGGTGTCGGGATGGAAGCAAAGGCCAAGTGCACGCTCAACACCGAGGGGCAGCCACAGGGCGAGGCTGGTGCCCTCTGGCCCCTTTCTCGTCCCCGCCTCTGCACTGGGCTAAGGAAGCCTGGGCTGGGACCTCTCCTGGCCTCGGTGTGGGGTGCAGTGGGGATAGGGATGGCAGCGCAAGGCCCCAGGACCCATCAGCAGAGGGGACTGTGGGTGCTGACCACAACCGACACCTGTGTGGGGTTGAAATCAGTTTCTCTGTGTCATTTGGTTACTCAGGAATGGAGTCAAAGTTATTTTTGGAGGCAGGGTCTCTCTGTGACGTCCAAGCAGGCCTGCCCTTGACGCTTTACACTCCTGGGCTCAAACGACCCTCGTGTCTCGGCTTCCTGAGGAGCTGGGATGACAGTGATATGCGTCACCATTCCTGGCTGTAAACTTGCTTTACAATTCAGTTATAAAATATTCACCCTTCCTCTTTTTGTTTTGGTACTGGGGATTGAACCTGGGAGCTTTACACGAGTGCCTTCCCCATCCTTGCTTATTTTTAATTTGAGGCAAGGTCTTGCTAAGCTGCTAAGTCTCCAGGGCTGGACTTGAATTTGTAATCCTCTTGTCTCAGTTTCCCAGAGTACTGGGATTAGAGGCGTGAGCCACCCATGTTCACCTTATCTCTCTTAGTTTAGCTTATAAAACGTTTACTTAAAATATTTTGATAACAAAGAATATGCTGGAGCCAGATCCATTATTTCTGGCAGTACTTACATCAGTACAGGATGCTTCCCGTGCCCTGGAGCACCATTGTAAATTCTTCACAAAGTGCATTATGGAGGGTGTTAAATGCCTATGTTTATATTTTTAGGAGTATTTCTATTGATTAATTATTAATTTTAATTTTACAAGTTTTATTACATTACTGTATACTTAAGAAAAATCAATAAAATATTAACATTTTGATACGAGATGAGTGTGTAGAATAAGCATTTTCAACATCAAACGCTTATCTGCTTACAAGACCTAAAAAGTAACAGCAGAAAGAAATTCCCAGGTGAGCTACAGTCTCAATACAGACAAAGTCCGCACGGACATAACCTTGCCTCCGTTCTCACAGCTAGGGCCGTCCTCACCCGTGAGAACACACGTTCCACAAACGACGTGACTTCTCCTACACCAGTCGCCCAGGAGTCTGTTCCCTGTCTTCTTTGGTGGACACTCCTGCCACCTTGCTGGACTCCCTGCTTTCACCGGTCCGCTCCGGAATTCTTTGTGGAGTTGTCTGGGCAGGTACATGTTGCTCTTCCTCTGTTATAATTCATCCTCTATCAGTTCCAGTCCCAGTCCCTAAGAGAATTTCCCCGTGATATTTTGTGCTTGTTACTTTCTTTGTAAACCGTGAAACTGCTCATGCCTGACGTGTTCAGGGTTGGGTAAAACAACCTTTTGCCAACGCTTTGTGTTTTGAGTGACATCACAGTTGCTGCTTAACTTTTTTTTTCTTTTTTGTCTTTTTCTTTTTTATCAGTACCAGGGATCGAACTCATGACCGCCTGCTTGCAAGGCAGGTGCTTATGCCGCTGAGCTAAATCCCCAGCCCCCAGTTGCTGCTTAACTTGCCCAAGACATCTATTCCGCCTTTCTTTTTGTTGTAAAATGTGACCATTTCTGGCTTCATTTGTGTTGGATTCAGCATCAGTCTTTTTTGGTTACGGTCTGGTCTTCAGAGACAGGGTCTTGCTATGCACTGCCGGTAGCACGGAACTCAGTAGGACAGGCTGACCTTGAACTCACAGGCTCCTCCTGCCTCAGCCTCTTGAGTGCTGGGATTACAGACTTGTAGGACCACACCCAGCATCACTAGCAATCTTATCATGGTGTAAACTGACAGTACCAATACTACTTTGTTTTTCTTCGCTGTGTGGGAGGCCAATGTTATGTCCTAAAACCCCAGACTGAACCATAAATTTGTCTATTGTGAACTTGCAACAGTTTTTCTGGAGTCTCAGCCTTTCTCTTGAGAACAGTTCCTGTGCTGGGCAGCTGGAGTGTTTTTTTTTTTTTTTTAGAAAATGTACCATCAGTGGGTAACTAGTGAGCAGCTGCTGAGTTTGACATTCGGGTTACTTTCTGAACCAGGTGCAACAAGTCGGTGCATTGTAGGGTTTACCACTGCATGAAGAGAGGCCTGGCGTCTGAGCTCCAGGATACACTTCTAAATTCTAAGGATACCATGTCTTTGCATCTAGCAGGGCATGCATTTTTATTCGTATTTGGAAGGTTTATTTGGCATAGGTTGCCGAAACCCTCAACAACCATGAAACGGTGCACGTTGCTTGTCAGCTGTCATGTACTGGGACTGTGCGTAAACTGCCGGACAGCGGGAAACAAAGCTTTCAATAAACCAGCGAACAGCGGCCGAATTTCCGGATTTTTTCTTTGCTTTTTCTTGGCAGGTCTTTTTGTCACTAAAACATAGGCAAGTATGAAAGAGACCAAACATCTTGTGTGTTACTGTTTTAAAAATCTGAGTGCTGCATGCGTTGCTTCTCTGTAAACCGTCCAGACTCTGCGGTTAGAAAGGCACAGTCCTGCTGCGAAGCCTCAGTGCAGACTGAGCGGCACCGATGAGTGCATTTCCGAGCGTTACTACCAATGCACGCACTTCACTGTGAGCACATTTGGAAGCACCTTGTCACGTACCATCCTTTAAAAGCAGCCCCCCACTGAATCACAGCCTTGGTGTTCCGTCCAGCGGGGTTCACGCCTGGCGAGGGCCTCGTGCCATTTTCTGACCGGGTTCTAACGTTGGGCTGCTCAGGCGTGGCACACGGCCATCCGGAGCAGCCTGACTCGCCTGATACTTGTCCACACCACTGCTTTCCTCCGCATCGGAGGCCAGGTCTTCATCCTGCACTTCTCTACCCCTCCTGTCTTGCTGCCTTCTCTGGCTCACATGATCCAAGTCCTCATTGGCAGCCAAGTCACCTGGTGACTCCCTTTCCATCTCTTCCCAAGGGTGTAAAAGCAGGTTTTCATGCGACACTGCACTGAGTTGGGCTGCTTCTACAAGAAAAACATTCCAGTGTTTTATCCACAGATATTTTAGGCTGTATCTGTGAAGGATAGATGATTTGGAAAAACCCAGTGTGCCAGCCTGACTACCAGAGGCAGAGGTGCTGCAGGACCAAAGAGGATGATAACTCCAGGATTACACCAAGTGCTATTTATTAGGGACTTGTGGAGAGAAGTGGGTCTTGGGTAGCAGCCAGATAAAAGGATCCAGTCAGTGATGCCTGTAATCTCAACAATCTGAGAGCCTGAGACAGGAGGATCTCAGGCAAACCTGGACAGGCAGCCTCGGTAATTTAGCAATTTAGACCTTGTCTCAAAATAAAAAAAAAAAAATTTTTTTTTAAAAAAACTTTTTATTGGTACCAGGGTTTTTAAAAGGGCTGGGTTTGTAGCTTAGTGGTAGAGCACCCTGGGTTTAATCCCTAGTACAGGGAGGTGGGGGCAAGGATGTATGCCCTTGAGGAGAAGCATCTTCCATGCCAATCTAGGCAGGGTGTGCTGAGGGTGGCTGGAACGTGCTAGACCTTTCTCAACACTGTGAACATGAGCTGGGGAAGTAGCTCATGGTTGAGCACTTGTCTTACTTGTACAAGGCCCGGGATTGAGCTGCCATTAGCAAACAGACAAACAAATGGTCTGGGAGTCAGTGGCTGGCAAGACATTTGTGCCATCTTTTAAAAAGATTTATGCCACAGCCACCCTGGTTGTGATCAAGGTTCTGTAGTCATTTTATTTTTAATTTTTTATTTTGTTTTTGGTGCCGGGGGTTGAACTCTTGGCCTTGTGCTTGCCAGGCAGGCGCTACACCACTGAGCTAAGTCCCCAGCTCCCTCTGCAGTCATTTTAAACTGAAACCCACGGAAGTGCAGCATGGTTACCACACCGAGGTGTCCTCGTCCCATCTTTGTTCCCATTGTCCTAAAGCAGTACATCTGCATCTGGTCGGCTCGAGCCACGGTCCACCTGTGGCATGTGGGGGACACGGCCCTTAGCCCTCTTTCATCTGCAGTGACCTCAGGACCTTGCAGGGCAGGCGCGGAGTGGCAGTGCCGACCGGAGGCCGTCGTTAACATCAGTTCCCATCAGGTGGCGCCAGAGCTGTTCGAGATAATTTGAGAGGCCAGAATTGCACTCCCGGTCCTGAGTACAGGCAAGCTCATCCCACAGTAACCCCAGAAGGCAGACGTTCTGCCTGTCTCACAGACCAGGAAGCTAATCCCGAGGGAGGCTTTCCAAATAAGTAGGAGGTCAGGTTTCATGTATTTCTGTTTCTCTTCCAGAATTGACTCAGGATAAACCACGGTGCCAGCTGCCACTGCCACCAGCACCCTCTTGCTGTCGGACCCGGTCGGGGCTCCAGAGGGGGAAGGGGGCTGCATGGGATGGTGCTGGGACAGCAGACAGCCGCTGCAGCCCAGGCTGCCCAGTGGAAGCCTGTGGCCTCTCTCACCCTCAGAGGCACATGGTACTGATTCTGTGGGTCCCCTGGGCACGACTGTGGCCATCGTGAGCTGGAACTGGCCTCAGAGTAACCGGCTGGTCTTTCCTGCGTAGTTCCCCAGAAACTGCAGCCAAAACCAGGAGGGCAGACCCTGAGCTATCCACGGAGGACAGGCCTGGCGCCTTCTGCCCATCTTTGTCCTCACCGATACACCCCCGCAACCCCGTGGCCCACACGGTGGGAATCCATTTGGCCTCACTGCTTCCAGAACCTAGGCCGCCCACAACTGTGCCTCCCTCGGAAAGCCTCCCCTGTGAGGACCCTGTTCGGGCCCCCGCTAGCCTGAGGGCACCCGGGGTGGCTCTCACGCACTGGGACCTGGTTGCTGGACAGTTTCAGTGAAGATGCTTCATTTGCGTTTTACAAATTGAAACATGTTGATGTGAATGCATGTACGAATATGTGTGTAAAGGACGAAAACAATCAAATGAGCCCTTATTTTATCAAGAAGGGAGGGGCTGCAGACCCCTTGTCTAGCATGCTCAGGGCCCTGGTTCAATTGCAGGTACAGAAACGAAAGAAAAAGAAAAGGGAAGACAGAGCTAGCAGGCTGTCTTGAGGTGCAGAAGGCTTCCCCTCAGGCATCCTCGTCCTCCTCACCCCCAGGTAACACACCATGCTGGACTGTTATGGTCTCCTTGCTCTCCCGTACAATTCCTGTGCATGTGTATGTTGTTAAACGAATATGCTCTTTACTTTTGCCTTTTTGAACTTTGTAAAATATATTTTCTGCAGTTGCTGCGACTTACCCTTTCCTCTCACTCAGCAGTGTGCTGGAGGATTCATTCAATTCGATGCCTGTAATTCATTGGTGCTGTGTACAGTGGTTCACTGTAGATTGCAATTTACCAGTTCACTCTTCCATGAAATGTCGGACTTGTCTCCTGATTGTTGAGGTAGGGCCTTGCTATGTAGCTCGGGCGTGCTTTGTACTTGTTATATAGCTCAGGCTGGACTCCAACTTGGAATCATCCTTCTGCCTCAGCCTCCCATGTGCTGGGATTACAGGTCTGTGTCACCATGCTAGGCTTCCATTTCAAAATTTTCCCCCTTAATTATGAGTAAGGTTACTGTGGATCTTTTTACCTCTATCCCCTTGCAGCACATGTCCAGGTTTCTCTAGGGTAAACCCTAAGGAAAAGAATAGGTATATCAGAACTGACCAATCCTCCACTATGCAGCCCACTCGGTGCCATCATAGGCCAGGGCTGGCTGCCATCTTTGATGTGGGCAGAGCTGGCAGCTGGGTCCTTCTCTCCTTACCTGTCTCCTTGCAGGTGAAGAGCACTGCATCAGGCCTGATCTACTGGAAGAGGTCACATTGTAGTGTTATAGGAGCTTAGTTGGAAATATTAGAGGCGGTCAGACAGGGCTGGGCGCTCAAAGGAGCCAGAGCAGAAGTCCACATACCTCACAGCCTTGGAAGAGACAATTACCTCATGCTGTGGGCCAGATCTCAAGACAAAAGGTAAAGCAAATACAGCCACATGCCAAGGATCCACAGTCCGGATAGGTCTCTGTCACCCTGAGGAAGCCAGGGTCAGCGTCCCACCCCCACAGGAAGGGTCACTGCTGCTAAGCATGGCAGCTCTCTACATGACTTGCTCCCACATTTGTTCCTAATTTAATCAATTTTACCTGAGCAAGTAATCTTACTGGTTGATCACAGTTCTGTCCTGCCTATCCCCACCTCAAGCATTCCCATTTTCCCCATCTTTGACTCATCTAACCTCATGATTTTACTCTATAAAAGTCCCTAAAAAGACAGTCTTTGGCAACTCACTCAGGACCCCTTCTCACACTTTCTTTCTCTCAATAAATATATTCCACCCTTAACCTCCGTTGTTACTAAAATTCTTCGATTTCAGAGAAATCAGACATAGTAGGTTGGGAGTTTCACTCCCCTGTATCAGTAGGATGTGTGGAGTCATCTTGTATTGGTACCAGGAAGTAAACTGGAAGCTACAGCAGCGGGCCTGTGTCCTGGACTTTTGCTCTGATGCCGGAAATACGTCACTTCCTCACTTCTGGTGCTACCTTTAGAGAGGGATGCTGGGATTTTTTCTTGGGTGCGATTCACATCCGGAATTGCACTTCTTGCAGCGATGAGCTAGGTTTGTTCCTGGCTTTCCCCATGCTTTCTTCCTTCCCAAGTGAGACTCCCCCCATCCAAGCCTCTGATGTCTAAGTTACCATCACTCCCCATTCCACTTCTCAGCCTTGGGTTTTTCTTACACTTAGAACCACCTCGCTTGCTGAATGTCCTAATTTTATTAATTATGTCTCAGTCACTGGGGAGCAAGTTCCATGAGGGCAAGTCCTGTTTTGACCACTCTTACAAGTCCTAGAACAGCACGGTCTCACTGCAGTGCCAATTTATCCCCCAGGCTTAATAGGTATAGCGCTGACAGTGTTGGGGCTCATAAATGCCTCTGCTTTGGTCTCTCCCAACATTAGAAGAAACTAATAATAATTAGTGTATTCATATTTTGTACCAACACGTTAATAAAATTTGAAGTAAGTTTCCATGGAGAAAATGTCACAGATAGGCTCTCAGGGGATCAGACTTCAATTTGCACCCCCTCTCATGGAGTATTGACTTTTTTTTTTTTTTTTGGTCTTTTTCATGTTTATCGGTACCGGGGATCGAACTCATGACTGCCTGCTTGTAAGGCAGGCACTTATGCCGCTGAGCTAAATCCCCAGCCCCCAGTTTCATTGACTCTTATCATAAGAGAATTTCAGGACACATTGGTGAGTGGCATGGGTGGGTCTATTGGGCAGAATTAAAGAATTATGCACAGAAAAAAATAGAGTGTGTGTGCTCCAGAAGGAAGGCATGTTTTGGGATTGGAGCATATACATGATATTGGTACTGCAGTATCTCTTAAGATTGGGCATCCAAGATGTTTTGCTCCAAAACTTTCTTTGAATTCCTTGAATCTGTTCATTTTAGAGTCAGGTTGCTACATTTTAGATTATCAACTAGGCTATTTTATGAATTTATAGTTCTTTATGAGATTTGTGTGTGATAAGCCTGGAAAAAAGTCTGGGGAGTACAAACTGAAAGAGTTTTGGCCCAGACAGGACACTGTAGCCTGTGAAGCCTTAGAGGCGGAACCAAGGAGCTCCTATCTCCCTCAGCCCTAGGAATTTACCTATGGTGCCAAACAAAGACCAATGGGCTACCCGTGCATCTCTGATGCCCCCTTAGGTTCCACCCCAAACTGAGGCTACTTATATACCCCCACGCCATGTGTCTGCCAGAGAGAAAGCCGGACTCCAGCGGTCAGGGGTTTTGGTGTTCTCTCTCCGCATTCTCAGAATAAAGGCCTCTTTTGTTTTATACTTCTCATCTTTTGGATATAATCTTATCATTTGGTGCCGTGACTCAATTGGCAGTCGACTGACTCCTGGGACACACCCAGTTCGAGTCCCCAGCTCTTCACAAACTGGATTACATCCTGGATTAATTCTCCGTTTTTTGTCTCCTGGGACCTGCTTAATTTGTCGCCAACTGCTAGCACACAACACCGGCCCAATTAATCTAAGGTGAGCAAACTCCAGAGAATTCTTCGGTGCTGGGCTCGGCCCCAGGCAGGTTTTCTTCCCCCTTTCCGTGGGTTCATGACCCTCTCACATCCTTAAGACAGCCCAGGGTAGGGTCTTTCTGGGCAACCTGTGTCCACACTCAAAAACTCTCATGTCCTTTGGGTTCGGATAGCTCAAGGCAGAGTTTTCCTGGACCGGCTCACACTGTAAGACCCTCAAGTCCCACGGAGCTTTATGCTCTCACAGGCAGAACTGTTACTGAACCCATGTGGAAGCCACTTGGACATCTCTCGGTGATGACTGAGAAATACAAGTTTTTGGAACTCCAACTGCCGTTTGGTGTCATGGGACGAGCGACAGCTCAACCTCTGGACCATGGCTAGTTTCTTGCCTGAACTAGTCATGGGAAACACTTTTTCTAAATCCCAAAAGACACCTCTGCAATGCTTACTTTCCAATCTATGCACTCTTAAAATTAAATGCACCATAAAAACTAAACAATTAAATTTTTTACTCCCAGGAAGCTTGGCCGACCTACCCACTTACTGGCAGCCCATGCCCCAAAGGGGGGACATTTGACCCCTCTATTCTCAAAAATCTATATGATTTCTGCCAAACTGGTGACAAGTTAACAGAGATCCCTTACATAGAGGCTTTCCTTGCTCTGAGAACGTGCGCCCGTCTCTCATTAATCCCCCGCCCAGGTACTTTTAGCTAACTCTGCTACATCACAAACTCTCCCCTCCTGGGCTCATGATCTGCTAGAGGAAGTACCCCAGTTTTTTATCAGCCGCTGCCTGCCTACTCCCAGAATCGTTCCTCGTCATTATCTCCCACTGTGCGATCATCTTGCCCTCCCTCCCGGGACCCCTAATTCTCCCAGCGGCTCTAATCCCTCTGTTAGTGCTTCCTCGCAGTCTCTGACCTCTTACTCTCCTGAGAATTCTCTGTCCCCTACGGCATTCTCACCTCCCGCCCACCATACTAGGTCTCAGTCGCTATGTCCTTCCAGCAGGCCGCGTGACTGTTGCAGCTTGTGCCGGGGACCATCACCATGTTGCGGCCCTCTGCCATGTGAAAGGGTGCCGCCATCTTGGGATGGATCTCACGGTCAATGGCCACCCCCTTGTGGCTCCTCTTGTGATCAGCAACAGCTACCCTGTTGTGGACCACATGATGGTTCACTGTGCTGTGGACAGCAATTTCATCGCTGCAAGGCACACAGTGAGGTGCCAACTGCCTGTGTTTCCTTGGCTCATGTTAACTGGCAGCTGCTTTGTAGCCACTCTACAGATAATTGCTCACATGCACCTACTGGATGGATGGCTGCCCAATGGCTCTTTACTCCACAATCTTCTCCTCAATCTCTGCTACCACTTTGGGAGCAAGCTGGCCCCCAGGGTCTTGTTAATATACATGTGTCTTTCTCCCTTTCTGATTTATCTCAGGTTACCCATACATTAGGTAGCTTCTCTGTTGACCCATAGAATTATATCAGGCAATTTGAATTTATAACTAATTGTTATGATTTACATTTTAAGGATGTTTATGTGTTTCTAAATACCACTCTCAGCTCACAAGAGCGAACTCAGCTGTGGCAGGCAGCTTGAGAAGAAGCTGATTGCAGACATAAGGAGAACACTGCTGATAATGACCCTGGGCCTACAGCTGTGCTGGAACAAGATCCTAACTGGAACTATCAAAATGAAGAAGGTTCAACAAAATTACATAAAATGATTGTCTAATTGTGGGCCTTAATAAGATTGCTCACAAACATACTAACTATAACAAACTTTTAGAACAGATCCAGGAGGCTAATGAAAACCCAGCTGTGCTCCTAAATCAGCTTCAGGAAACCTTAATTAAGTTTACTAATATGAACCCAGACTCTCATGAAGGGATAATTGTTGTTAACTCTTATTTTATTCCCCAGTCTGCTCCTGATATTTGTATAAAATTACAAAAGGTTGAACATGGCCCTCAAACTCTGCAAGGGGATCTACTTAAATTAGCTTTCCGTGTCTTCAGCAACAGAGAAAAAATTCAAAAAGAGGAAAAACAAGCTCAAAAAATAAAGTTTGCTAAATATCAGTCTGATCTCTTAGCAGTGGCACATGGGGCTCCCAGGACAAGAAATCCAAAACAAGGTGTGGCTGCCCGAGTCCTGCCCAGACCGTGCTTTAAATGCAGCAAACAAGGACACTGGGCAAAAGATTGCCCCAACCCTGGCATCCCTCTAGGGCCATGTCCCTACTGCAAGTTAGGGCCATTAGAAGAGAGACTGTCCTAGCCGACAGGAAGTGGGTAAGCCATCCTGTAACTCCTTGCCCTCATAGGAGACTCCATTGATGCCAGAGTCATCACTGACTGACCTGCTATGGAAGATTGACGGGGCTTGGGGCTCACAGCTCCCACTCTGGTAACCTTGTCGGAGCCCCGTGTCTCACTGGAGGTCTCAGGACTACAACCAAGGTGAAGTGGTCCCTATTTGGTCTACTTGGCTACCCCTACAGCAGTCAGTCGCTGAACTCCCATCCTGGTTTCACATCACTCAGGCTAAGAGGTGCCCTCCCAGCCCT